TTGAGGTAAGCTGATTGGATATCATGTATTTGACCGTTTACGGCACTCCCATTTTCCTGTTTTTACATTAGAAGCGGCATTTTGCTTGTCAGAAATACGTGTTCGGTTTTAATGTCACTTTAAGTTGGGGTAGAATTAAATGAATGCCAAAACTTTTGTTGTTTTTTGTTTGCGTGCCCCAGTTTGAGAACCACTGTGTTAGGCTATTTTGATTACTTCATTACAGTCACTTTACAGTCAGTGCTATCATAAAAATACACTTACTTGTAGGTTTAAAACACTACATGTCACATTTATTGTCCAACTACAAATATTTCAGCGAAATGTATATTTTAGTCAGAATTGCTGCGCTCCTATTTTATTGAGATCCGTCTGTTTGGCGCTCGTTCACTGAAGTCTGTGGAGTTTAGCGGAGAATCCCGGAGAATCCCCAGTCAGAGCCGCTTAAACTAATATACCAAACCAAACTAAAAACTAAGTCTTACCAGTTTTTAAAGGCCTTGATATGAAGCTTGTGACATGTTTAGAACAAACTGGATTATGCACTTTCTCCGCAGCAGCTCAGTCTGTGTCCTCCACTATATTTTCAGATGTATCTTGTATCAAACTGCTGTAAACCATATAAACGGTATTGCCTCATATCGAATCGCTTATAAAGAAAATATCGATATATCGTACAGACTCGATATACCGCCAAGCCCTACCTTGGAGTGGGGACTTTAAAGTGAGCAGGGCACGTGCATGCCATTATAGTCGTTTGGAATGCACTTGGCAAAGGGAGCGAAGTAATTTCCTCATTATCTTCAGCTGGCATGTTCCCGTGACAACGCAGCACGGTGTCGGTCAGCAGATGTCGCTCTTTTACTGTCATAAATGTCTTTTTATTGTTGTTATCATAACTGTAGCAAATAAACATACATTTTATATTTTAAAAAGTGTTTAAAATATGCTATATAATAGATAAAAACTAATATATATAAAACTTTTTAAAATGTAAAATGTATATATTTTTTTATGCCGGTGTAAAATTCGCTGATGGACACCATGCTGCATTGTCATGGGAACATGCCAGCTGAAGATAATGAGGAAATTACATCGCTCCCTTTGCCAAGTGCATTCCAAACGACTACATAATGGCACGCACGTGCCCTGCTCACTCCAAAGTCCCCCTCTCCAAGGGGATAGGGATGATCACTTCCATTTGGAATTTGCCTGTGAACCGTTTGGTACACGATACACGTACCGTTACACCCTTAAACTCTGAACACTAAACAAGTAATGTTCATGAAATATAGTGCACATGAGTCTGAACTCCAATTAATTCCTGTAGAACATAAAATATACAAAGCATATTTCTGTCAGGACCACTTGGGAGTAGTGGACTGTGCGCATATAGCCATTAAAGCTCCCAATGCAGACGACTCTTCCTATGTAAATAAAAAAGGATTTCACTCAATCAATTGCCAATTAGTATGTGATGCCAGAGGACTGCTGCTGAGTGCTGAGACACATTGGCCAGGTAGTCTGACAGATAGAACTGTCTTTAAGCAATCCAGTGTGGCACAGCTGTTTGAAGAGCAAGACAATGACGAAGGTTGGCTTTTAGGTGAGACACACAGTTTGGTTGCCGTAGTGACTTTTCTTAACATTGCCAAAGAATCCTGTGAAAATTTCAATATGTTTTCTGTCTTTCGCCTCCAGGTGACAATCGTTACCCTCTAAAAAAGTGGCTGATGACTCCAGTGCAGAATCCGGAGTCCCCTGCTGACTACCGCTATAACCTGGCTCACACAACGACACACGAGATTGTGGACCGCACATTCAGAGCCATTCAGACACGTTTCCGGTGCCTGGATGGGGCAAAAGGTTACCTGCAGTATTCTCCAGAGAAATGCTCCCATATCATCCAGGCCTGCTGTGTACTACATAACATTTCCCTGCAGTCTGGCCTTGACGCCTGGACTTTTGAGAGGACTGAGGCCACAGACCAATCAGGGGAGGATATTGATCCCACTGACACTGTCGACCCAGAGGCTCTCAGAGTTCGACAGGAACTCATCCAAAATCGTTTCAGCTAAGATGGAATACGGAATTCAACATTTAATTTTTTTTTAAAGATACACATGCTATTGTCTTCCTGTATGCTAACATTTTGTTAAGGAATATAAAAAAAAAACAATTCTGTCACTTAATCATAATTTAATAATTTAGCCTACTCAAGCTCAGGTTGTTCCAAACTCACAAGACTATATTTCTTATGTGGAAAATAAAATCATATTATGAAGAATATTTTGGTCACCAGCAATTTCATCGTAAAGCAAGTAAGTAAATAAATAAATGAATAAATAAAAACTATGAGATTTTTCTCAAAATATCTTCTTAATGTTCCACAGAAAAAAGAAAACGTTTTAGAATGACTAAGTGAATGATGATGGGTGAATTATCCCTTTATGAATGTGATGTTTGTCACTTTTTATTGGTCCTGTGAAAACAAAAACTAATTTTTTTAATTAGTGTTTACAAATACTTTAGGAATGAGATATGAAAATGGACAGGGTCTTTTATTACAAGTTACTGTAATTTTAATTTAGTTGTTTTTTTTTATGCAGTATTTTACTGAAAACGGATAGACCTGTACAATTATTTAAACAATAAATTACACCTCAACAGTAGATGTGTGTGTTTATATCTCTGCAAAGTGCATTATTTGTTTCAAAACTTGAATTCGACAGGAACAACTGACTTTCCAAACAAGCCAAACCTCTTGTTATTTATGAACTTCTTTCACATTTGTTAATTTTGTTGAGTTCATCAGCAGTGTTGGGAGTAACGCGTTACAAAAGTAATGCATTGCCTGGATGGGGCAAAAGGTTACCTGCAGTATTCCCCAGAGAAATGCTCACATATCATCCAGGCCTGCTGTGTGCTACATAACATTTCTCTCCAGTCTGGCCTTGATGCCTGGACTTTTGAGAGGACTGAGGCCACAGACCAATCAGGGGAGGATATTGATCCCACTGACACTGTCGACCCAGAGGCTCTCAGAGTTCGACAGGAACTCATCCAAAATCGTTTCAGCTAAGATGGAATACGGAATTCAACATTTAATTTTTTTTTAAAGATACACATGCTATTGTCTTCCTGTATGCTAACATTTTGTTAAGGAATATAAAAAAAAAACAATTCTGTCACTTAATCATAATTTAATAATTTAGCCTACTCAAGCTCAGGTTGTTCCAAACTCACAAGACTATATTTCTTATGTGGAAAATAAAATCATATTATGAAGAATATTTTGGTCACCAGCAATTTCATCGTAAAGCAAGTAAGTAAATAAATAAATGAATAAATAAAAACTATGAGATTTTTCTCAAAATATCTTCTTAATGTTCCACAGAAAAAAGAAAACGTTTTAGAATGACTAAGTGAATGATGATGGGTGAATTATCCCTTTATGAATGTGATGTTTGTCACTTTTTATTGGTCCTGTGAAAACAAAAACTAATTTTTTTAATTAGTGTTTACAAATACTTTAGGAATGAGATATGAAAATGGACAGGGTCTTTTATTACAAGTTACTGTAATTTTAATTTAGTTGTTTTTTTTTATGCAGTATTTTACTGAAAACGGATAGACCTGTACAATTATTTAAACAATAAATTACACCTCAACAGTAGATGTGTGTGTTTATATCTCTGCAAAGTGCATTATTTGTTTCAAAACTTGAATTCGACAGGAACAACTGACTTTCCAAACAAGCCAAACCTCTTGTTATTTATGAACTTCTTTCACATTTGTTAATTTTGTTGAGTTCATCAGCAGTGTTGGGAGTAACGCATTACAAAAGTAATGCATTACAGTAACTGATTACTTTTTGCTGTAACGCAGTAGTGTAAGGCATTACTAATAAATTTTCAGTAATATTTTACTCGGTACATGTTCAGTAACGTATGCGTTACAACACATGTTTAGCCTAAAATGTAATTGTTCAAAGAAAAAAACCCCCAGCAAGACCGCGAGATATTAACGAATCAAAAATGCCGCAAGCTCTATTTCCTGTTCGTGGTCAGTCAATAGCCGCGCGGTGGTGTCTAAGTTTGTAAATAAAGACTAAACGACAGCTTCTGATATATTTGCTTAGCGATTTATTTCATTCATCTCCCTCTCGCTGGAGGAACTTTGTATTGTGTGACGTAGTCCAGTGAAGGCGTGTTTAGGGCGGGTTTTACAGGAGTGCCGCGAGGCTACTGGCCCGACAGTGGAAACGCGGCATGATTTCGGCCTCTGTCTGTGCTCGAGGTCCGAGGCTATTAGCCCCGCCCGGCTCGCTGTAAGCCCCGGCTCTCACTGGCCAGTGGAAAAGCGGCTAATGGGTGATGGCAGAAGACTGTACATGCGCCAGATGGACGTATGCGCATCTTGCCATGGCATTAGAGTTTACATATAGTCCTGTTGTGTCAAATATGAATAGACCCAAGCTATTCACAGATATTGCCAGATAATCACTTTACCTCTACCATACTTTTAACAGACTTGGATCGTTTGTGATTCTGGCTGGCATCCTTTCTTGCATTGTCTTGAGCCCTCACTTTGCCAATTATAGCTATATTGTTAGTAGCCTGGATAGCCCACAGTCATTATGCTACACCATATCGCCCTCTACTGGATATAAAATGCTATGCAGTACATTTTGTCATTTTAGAATGTCAAGTTCTACTTCTGTAGTTATTTTGGTGAAAGTAACTCAAAAGTAATACAGGAGTCATGTAATTCTGGGACAATAATATTGTAAGGTAAGGAATTACTTTTAAATAACAATAACAAGTAATCTATAATGTATTACAGTTTGGAAGTAACTTGCACAACACTGATCATCAGTAATGCTTACCTGCTATTAGTTTCTTTCTCACAGGTCTCTACTGGTGCTCTGTAATCTGAGTAAAAGATATAACAGGGCAAAAATATAAAGCTTTAATTTTAGCCCGGGTTTATTAATGGTTTTGTTGGCGGAAAGAGCTAGTGGTCTCTGCTGATCCGGAGGCTCGACTGTCAAAGGCGATAAATCAGCTGGTCGTTTAATGAGTCTCGCAGTCGAGCCCCGGTTATGAATGTGAGTAATAAGAAGAGAGACCACGCTGAACAATGACGCGCGTGTGTGTGTGTGTGTGTGTGTGTGTGTGTGTGTGTGTGTGTG